CAGCAAGGAAAACCAGGATCATCTAACCAGCAAGGGAAACCAGGGTCTTCTAACCAGCAAGGGAATCAAGGGTCTTCTAGCCTTCAGGGGAAGCCGGGATCATCTAGCCATCAAGGGAACCCAGGGTTATCTAGCCAGCAAGGAAATCTAGGATCTTCCAGCCAGCAAGGGAAGCCAGGTTTATCTAGCCAACAAGGGCATCCAGGATCTTCCAGCCAGCAAGGGAAACCAGGGTCTTTTACCCAGCAAGGAAAACCAGGATCATCTAGTCAACAAAGGAAACCAAGATCTTTTTACACTCAAGGAGAAAGAAAAAATACAGAAAAAACTTTAAATGGCAAAATAATGGAGATCCAGGTTAGTGTTATATTCTAAGTCAATTAATCTCAGTTATTCTTTTTTGCAAGACTAGAAATGGTTAAACTAATAGACTGTATTAATGACAAATTGCAATGACACTGTTTAAGCAAAATGAGACAAAGTATGGAACTGATCGTTTTCACACGTAACATGATCACTGAATGCCATACTCCTTTATCCTATCTCTATCATTTTCCATTCAAGTCTTTCTACCTAACCTAAGTTGGATTAACTCAAAATTCCATCGTTTGAGACTACTCCCCTGCCAAGTTTAACTTTAATGTCCATTTCTATCCCATCCATAATCTACAACCCACTGAAATGATAGTTCTCAAATCTGAGAACTATCCTCTGCTGGTGTTTCAGTCCACTGCTCAACATTTTTCAGTATTTCTATACTTATTACAGATAAAACTGCATGCCATTCAGCTTCTGTTTATGTCTCTGCTGTCCACATACAGAACCCTTTGAATTTCTGATACTGATGATTTCCTCCATTATAGAAGTTACCTTATTGAATTGTTATCTAAGTATTCAATAAACTATGAACCCCTTGAAGAAAGAGCATTTTTTAAAGCCTTTATCCTCAGAGCTTAGGATAAATGAGACATAAAATAGGTTCTCTGAGTTTTCAGGTTAGATAAATGAAGGCTTAGAAAAAATCTTTGCAAGGAGATGATCATCCACCTGATGATCTTGTCTCCTATATTCCCCTCTGAGTTCCTCTACGTTCTAGCTTCACTTGCCACTTGCTCACACACAATCAGCCTCCTACTTCCCTTTAAAGAAGACTCTAAACACTCTGTTTTATTTTCACATATAAAACTATTTTCTAGAACACTTACTCTCTCTCATCATTTAAATAGAAATTTTATTTTTTACCATATAAATTGGCAATCCTCATCATATTTTCAGAGGAAAGATATTGTCCTTCCTGGCATGAAGACTCTAGCCTGGCATGAAGTATTATCTCTCACTAAGATTAGTACCATCCAGGTCTTAATGCCTGGCTCTCTGAGATTTTAAGATATCATATAAACTTCTGTAATTTTATATTGGTTCTAAAACAGAAAAGTAACTGTGCACTTTACGAAGTATATGTGAATGAAAGGAATTGATTTTCATGAAAAGTTTATAAACTTTATACCAATGGAAAATATTGAGGATTTTTTCATATTCCTTTAGTATCTTGGGTTTGATTTGACTTAAGATCCCCATTAAAGTCTCATCATTTCCATTCATGTCTTCACTCTCATCAGCTAATAAAAGCTTTACATCCACAGGCTTCTCACGTCTATAGCTCACATCCAAAAACATTCCCACTATTTAAATTAATTCTGCATAGTGCAACTACATGCATTTTTTTATTTTAATGGCACAAGAAAAAGGGAGATCGGTAAGTTTTGCTCATATGTGTCTCATATTTGCCAGTGTTAATTTTCCTTGACTATTGTTCCTCTATATAGAAGAAAACTTGTATCCATAAAAGTAAAGTAAAAGCAGTTTGACACTTAATAAGATCCAGGGCTTTGGAATAAATAACCCCAAGTTTGAATCACTGCTTGGACATTTAAACTCTTTATGATCGGTCTCAAGCTTGAATTTAAATCTATCTCCCTGTGCTACTGGTAACAAATTGGGGCAAAATATATCCTTCTTTTAGTACTGCTGTGTGGATTAAATGCAAAAGACCAATGAAATGACAGGGAATATATAATACTTTACTACTAATAAATTAGCAATCCTTATTTTTCATAATAATAGCTGAATTAAGTTGATGCTTCTATCCTACCTGATGATCTTTCACCTCACTACAGACTGGCAGCACCAGTAGCAAGAAACCAATTAAAAACATAAAATGTCAATCTGCCTACAAACCAGTCTGCGGTTCTGATGGAAAAACCTATGATAACGGCTGTGTATTTAATTATGCAAAGAGGTAAGGGCTTTGTATTCCTTTGCGTCAGGAAGTACTATTCTGATCCGTAGGGAAGCAAACAACATTTTTCTCTGTCTATATAGTTTTTCTCTCAGTAGTTGCTTGTCACTTATTTGTCAGAAGAAAAATAAATGATAGTCATTTCTTGAATGATAAATTCTGTCAATTTCTAGGAGAATATGATTTATTCAGATATTAAAGTAAGAGTTAATTTACTTTTGTGTTATTCTTTGGCCAAATAGTCATCAAGTGCCCATCACGTGCAGGCAGTAATCTAAGAACTAGAGGTAAAATTGGTAACAAAATATACTGAAATTCCTGCTTGCACGAATTTTAATTTTTGCAACAGAAAAGAAACAAACAACACCAGAAGAGAAAGAGAACTGCAAAGCCCTTGAATTGCTAATTATTGCCTACTAAATCTTATTCTAATCACAATACCAAAGGTTGGATTTGGTGAATGTTCTAAACCTTCAAAAGTTACACACTATCTATAACAAATAAAGAGATTTTAAGTCTGTTTTAAAAATTGTAACATGTGGTTAGGAGAGATTTAGACATTTAAGCCTTCAGAATTTTTAAATGTTCAACTATAAAATAGAAAAATAAAGTAAGAATTATACCTCTCTTGTTTTCAATGATTCTCGAATTCAATAAGTACTTAGCATAAGTCATTACTGTAAAATAAAATACTAAAGTATCCCCTGAAGCTAAACAGAATTTAAAAGGGCATTAATGCCAATTCTCTTATAATATCCATAAAGCACATGGTCCAGAGATGAAAAGGAACTAATGGCAAGTGTACTATTTCTCTGATCAGTCAGTGAGAACTAGGTAAGCCAGCAAATAGGCCTACTTTTTAAATAATCACATTTTCTTTTTGTAGTGGTACTATAACTACTTGGTCCTTGATTTCTCTCATCATTTTTTTTCAGGTTGAGTCATGGAACATTGAGTCTGAAACATGAGGGAAAATGCTAAGTGTTTATATAAACCAAATTACCTGGAACTTCAAAATCAAGTTGCAATCCTGCTTTCACAATGGATTTTCTTGGAAGTTCAACTGTGAGGTCAACATAAATCTTACAGATCTGATGGAGCCTATGCTACTTTTTAGTTTCTTTCACTATAAATACAGTCAGTTCCAGAGTAACTTCTGATTCACAGGATTTTTTTGTTGTTTAGACTTTCTAAAACCTTAACGAGTGTTTTTGATCCCACCCTTCCCAAAGTACCAGTTATGAATTCAGGACATGGAGCAGCAATTTATAAACTCTTAACAGACATAAGAATGTCAGGACTTCCTGGAAAACATAAAGATCTTCCATTTTAAAAATACTGAGCCTGTAGGTATCTGCTAGAGCTAAAGAAACTGAAGTTTTAAAATACATTTTAGGATTTTGCAGTGGAAGAGAAGTATAGAATAATAATATGAAGTATTATTTTCTGCCCCCAAATTAGAAACCTAAATGAAATGGCCAAGTTCATAAAAACACACTATTTACCAAGATTACTTCATGAACAAAGAGAAAACATAAATAGACATATCCAATAAGATTGAATCAGTAATCAAAATTTTCTAACCAAGAAAAGTCCTGGGTAGGATGACTTCATAAGGAAGTATACCAAAAATTTAAGGGAGACTTAGCACCAGTGTTTCTCAAAGTCATCCAAAAAAAAAAATTGAACAAGAGGGAGCATTTCCTAACTAACTTTATATAAAAGTTAATATTACCCTGATACTAAGACCTGCTAAGACATAACAGGAAAATAAAACTGTAGGCCAACAACCTGATAAATATTGGTGCATAAAATCCCCAGTGGCATGCTAGGAGATTATATTCAGCAGCATATTAAGATAATCACACAGGTTACCAATTAGATTATTCCTGGCATGCAAGAATGTTTCATCATACAAAATTCAATATGGTCATTAATAGAATGAAGAGGAAAAATGCATGATTATCTCAAGGGTAAATTTAAGAAATTGACTAAGTTCAAAAAATCACAAATTGTGATGAATCACTAAAAAAACACTAGGACTGTCCTCAAAATGATAAGTAAAAACACTAATAAACATTATTTTAATAGGAAAAGAATGAAAGAAAGGATAAGAATCCCTGCTTTCATCACTTCTATTGACAACATTGTTACATGTTTTAGATAAAGTACTTAAAAGAAAGATACTTGAAATGAAGAAGTAAAACTATCTCTGTTCTCAAATGACATGATTATATATGTAGAAAGTCCTAAGAACCACAGAGACACACATACAACAGAACAAATAAATATATTCAGCGAACTTTTAAGACACAAAACTGTAAAAATCAGTTAAATTTCTAAACATAAACAATGAACAACCTAAAAGGGAAATTAAGAAAATAATTACTATTAAAATAGGATAAAGTGCACAGAATACTTGGGAATAAATATTAACATGGAGGGAAAAGACTCATACACCAAAAACTATAAAACACTATAAAAAATAAAAACACTACTAAATGAAAAGATATCCTATGTGTGATTGGGAAACTGAACTTTCTTAAGATGGAAATATTATCCAAAATGATATACTGACTCAAGAAATCTCTAGAAAATTCCAAAGTTACATTTTTGCAGAAATGGAAAAACCCATCCTAAAATTCATATTGGATATCAAGTGATGTTGAGTAGCAAAACAATCTTGAAAAAGAGGAAATTACTTGGAGCATTCATACTTTCTAATTTTGAAACTTATTACAAAGCTGTATTAATCAAACACGTGATATGACATAGACTTCCATATAGATCAATGGAACAGAGTGCAGAGACCAGAAAAAAATTCTCACCTCTATGGTTAAATGATTTTCAAC